CTGCCTGCAACCCAGTGTTCAGTGTTTCTTGACGCGTTGCCAGGTGCACTTGTGCCTGGAGCACCGAGACCAGCCTTTGAAGGCGCAGCACTGTGCGTAGGCGGTGAAGGACTGTGTTGTTGCAGCGTGCCTTCCTCTGTCCAAAGTTTGTACAAGATCTTTGCATCGCTCTGGCTTCACCGAGCCCCATAATATCATGTTGCATGTTGCTCTAGGTATGCATGGCTACATATTCTGTCAAGCAACATGCAACCTGCCCCTTTGCATCGGCCGAAAGTCATCCAAGCTAGGCTCATCATTTCATTGAGCTGATCATTTGTTGAACGCGCGGCTTCTTACGTCCTGCGCACGATATTGATTTGCTTCAACCGTTTGCCCCATGTGAGAGGCAAACCAGTTGCAGTCGAAGGCTCGTTATTTCATTGAAGCTGATTGTTTGAACATTGACCTTCTTGTGCTTGACGTTGATGGCTTCAACCGCTCTCCCCATGCTGGCCGCAATACGCTGCCAAGACATTGTAAGACAGCGACTGAAACAACTTCAGAGCAGCCATCACAGCCGTCATGTTATCTAGGCACGTAAGCACCCCTCCGTAGGGCCAACCAGATTTCCTTTCAAATTTGCATGTGGCCGGAACAACACCGACTGGCCACACACGATTCTAGCCGTGCAGTGCCAGGAGCAGTGCAAGTTTAAGCTATCGCCAGGCTTTCCGGCGGAGGATGTTGGAGGAGCCGGAGGAGCATTGGCCCGCCGGGACCCAAATTCAGGGTATCAAAGTTTGAACTCCTATCAAGGAACATGTTGTTGTTTCCATGTTGTTTCCTTTGAAGCACATGCGCGAAAAGGTCCTAAGAAGGTTCGACGCAGAAGCGTATCTCCGGCAAGATTGCTACTGAGACCAATGATCTGGCCATTGGCTGTTGAGGTGGGCTTCGAGAGATTGGGAAGGAGGCTTCCCACCGTCGCGCTTGGCATGCGTTTGATCTGTCAGTCCACCCAGCTAGGCACAAATTAACTCAAAGTATCGATCCGGGATGAATCAACCGGGTGGATTGCGAGGGATCTTCCCCCAAGCTGGTTCCGCTGAAACGGGGTTCCCATTCAGCCAATCAGGGAACCTTGCCCATCTGCTTGCTTCCCAGTAGCTCAATATCTGTTTCTTTTGGGGAATGAACTTGGGATCCGATTTTTTGTCCTTGTTTGGCTTCCCACACATTCCCGCACAACCGGTTTGCGCCCCCGGCGCGGGCTCCGCCGCGCTCGAGCCGCGAGTCGCGAGGCGACGGGGAGGGCCTGGCGCAGCGCGGGGCAGTACGTGAGCGCCTGGCGCCAGCTGAGCTTCATGGAGGCACCGGGCGGATCCCGAGGTTTGTCCAGGAAGAACGACCGAGCCGCAGGGGAGGTCCAAGAAACCCTTTGGGGGTTTCCAATGCAAGGCCGGCATGCACTTCAAGAGTCAATGTTGGTTGTTAACCAAAGGGTTTCCAATATAGCAAGGGCCAACTGAATTGGAATGGGGTACTTCAAAAGTCAGTTTTGGTTTCAGCAAACTGGACGCGTTTAGTGATGAATGAGCAACTTGTATGAGTCAGTGTGGCTTGCCAGTTAGCCGACAGCACAGGACGGACATGTTCAGGTTTTTGCGCTGGGGTCAGATCGACCAGCTCGGTTGGCATGTCAACGATGTGCGAAGGGAAGCATGATTTCTCTCTATCAATGCAATCCACACTTATGAACATAATATGACAGGGCCCAACTTGGATTATGTTCCCAGTCCACTCGATCACCTTGGCCAACCTCCAGAGATACAGCAATTTTAGGATGGGACGGTGATCTTAACACGGTTTTCGGGTTTTGTTTTGGTGGTGCAGGAATGGAATTCCCTTGTTTGGAGTTCAACAAGTTGCTATTCAAACTCAGACCTTTGCCAGCGGCAACAGTGCCCCAGGCGTCCTTGAAAGACGCAGCGGTATGACTTGGCCACACAATGCCAAACTACTAGCTGACTTAAAGGTTTTCTCTGAAGCCATTTGATTTTTCTTGTTTTCCTGTTGAACAGGAAACAGTTCTTGTGACTGCCACGTGATCCAACCGCTCCACCTGTGAAGGACCATTTCTGTCTTTGACTGCGATTGCTCAAGGGGGTCTGGCACGCTTGCTCTTCCTGTGGAGTGCTGCTTGCAGGCTTATCAGCGCGCATTGCTTGCAGGTGCATTTCTTTCCCTCCCGAAAGCAGTGCGAAAGGCTGAGGTCAGGTGGTGCCAGGTGCCCTTGGACACTCTTCGGACCCAGTTTGTTGGTTCCTAGATAGCCAAGTTGCTGCTTTTTTCAGTCACTTTTACTGGTGTTTGGGGTAAAGTGCATGGAAAACAGCGATCGCAACTGGCGATCCAGGTTGGCACTTATTGCCTGCAGCTCCGGGAGCCTTGGCCCCAGCCATATTTAAAGCGGCCAGCGATGCCCGACGCCGCGCCCCTGGTGTCTGCGACTTCCGCCATGTCGGAAGTGCAGTCCCTGGCCATCCACGAGCTCACCAAGCGCATCCGCGAGGAGGCCAAGATCCTGCCCAACGGGATCCTTAGGCGGGTGTTGAGAACGTGAGCGAAGAGAACATATGGCTGTGGCTCCAATAAATGTACCAAAGTGACACCTTGGTAAATGGAACCAAAGACTAAAACCGCGTAATCCTAGCTCTTGAATTTTAAGCCACAGCCATGTCAGCCTTGCAACAGCTGCGGAACTCTAATGGTGCAGGTTCTTTTGTTCCTTGCTGGTGGCTCTTGCAGCACTTGGGGTAGCTGTTGCAAACCGGATAGCCCAAGCCGGGTTGTTTCCTCGGGCTTCTCAGGATCGATGCCAAGCATCCCTTGCAAGGCCGACACGCTGTAAGCTTTCCAAAGAGTCATGTCCCAGCCTGAAACAGTTTGGGTGCCCACGCACACGCACGCACACTTGGTGTTTTTCTTTGGGTGATTGACCCAGACAAGCCCAGATTCTCTCGTTCTTGCTTTTCCGACTGGGGGTTGGAGAGTACCACTGGACCCTAGAAAGTTTGAACCCCCACCGTCACATGGGGCGTAGGGGCAGGGCACCTAATTTTTTGAGCATGTTTTGTGGAGTGTCGGTTTGTTTTCTTTCTTCGGAAAAAGGCCCAGGTTTGAAGAGACCCCAGAAGCAACATTCGGGGCCCAAATCCCTATTTGCGTGTGTGCGCGCGTGTGTGTGTGTGTGTGTGTGTGTGTGTGTGTGTGTCAATTTTTCTTTAAACCAATCTGAACACGGGTACCCTCCCAGAACACGCACACCCATCCCTGTGCAGAGTGGCCGACTTTCTGAACTCCCGGGCGGACCCAGTGCTGCTGGACGGCTGCGGCGCGCTGCTGGCGAATAAACTGGGGACCCAGAAGCCCACCAAGGCAGGGCTTCACTGCGGAGAAACCCCCCAACATGGTTGTGGTTGGGAACCATTTTACATTTTTGCTTATTGTGGTTTAGTGGGAAATCCCCACTTATCTGCTGAAATTTAAATTTTTGCTCCCCTTTCAACGTCAAGCAAGCCAAAAAGGGTGGGCCGGCCATTTGGTTGGCCAAACCTGGGTTTCCATTTGGGGCCGATCTAAACCTCGATCTCCGTGTTAGAGCCAAAGGTCAATGAGTCGATGAGTTTGGGTGCTGCGCACCTACCTGGGTTTCTCAAACTCAGAATCACCAAATCGTTTTGAGAGCCAACTCAAAAGGGAGCCGAGTCCATGAATGCATGCATGCAGTGAGAGCTACGCATTGCTGGTGACGGGCAATGTAGAACAGGCAGGGCTCAACTCCAGCTAGGGAAGATTGTAAGTAAGGCCAGACAAGCAGTTCCTGCTAAATGAAACATGAGCTCATGACTAGTTGCGGCCCCCTGCATTTGATTATGCTTACTCCAGCACATCCTCTTGGCACTTCAACATGACCGACGCTGCAAAGCGAGTGCTTACAAGAGAACACAGAGACGGCCTGCATACTGAGTGAGAGGATTCCCAGAAAGAAAGAGGACCAACGCTCATCATGAAGAAGTCACCAAGTCACCAACGACATGTTTTGAGTGCTACTCTAAGCGTTGCGTTTAGTTGAATCTAGGATACCCCGTGCAATTGTGATCTTGGAAGATGCTGGGCTTGTTCCTTCGACCACCGACCACCACTTGGGAGGCGTTTCTGAGAACTAGCAGCACGATTACACGTTGTCTGAACAAAACCAGTATCACTGACCATCTTGAATGAACGAGCAGATGGATATCCTCTTTAACTCTCAGGATATAACTGACTCTCTGGATATTTCGGCTCCTTTGTCCAAATCGTTTGCGTTGTTTGAACGTGCCCCCTTGCCACCCTTTTGGGACAAGTTTTTTTTTTTTTTGCGGGAGAGGCTTAGGATTTAAGTGGATGGCAAATGAGGAAGGTTGACTTCATAGGGGGCTTCTTCTTTCAGGCTGATGAGTCGTTGATGATTCGCCGAATCATTGTTGAAACGAATGTCATCTTGTCCACCGGATCAACCTGTCACAGTTTAGCCTTGCGACCTTGGATCGAGATACCGAAGAGCTGTTGTTCAGTGAGGACTCGCAAAGCGCATGGTCCTTTTTCCCTCAGGGAGTGATGGGCGGTACGAGGCGTGGGGCCTTCGTCTTTCCTCTACAAATCGTTTGTTCTGGTGTCGTCTCCAAAAGGTTCTTGGGAGCCTGAGGCGCGGTAAAGGGATGGGACCGGCACCAAAGTCGTATCTGTACTCGTTTTTTTCTGCTTTGTTTTTGGGGTTGGGGGTGGGGTGGGGTACCGCTGAGAGCCGCAAAAGCGGGGCAGGCAACAATTGGGGCCGTGTTCCGTCCCTAGGTGCTCGCTGGCTGCAGCTGTCCCGTGGCAAGCAAAAAAGGGGCCGTCTCGGGCACGGGTTGGGGGACTCGCGCAGACCAAAGATCCCACATGTTCGTCCGGCTTTCCTATCTCTTGGACCGGTGGCATCTTTTCTTTTTTTGTAGGCCAAACTGGACCTGTGAGCAGCTGACCAAATTCCAGGCAGTCTGTCATGGGGCGCCCACCCACATTTCCCACGAGCACCGGGGTTTTTGTCCCCTTTATTGGGGCTTCCCTATCACCACGTTGTGTATAATGACAACCTCACATTTGAAGTGTATGCAACAATGTATCAATATGGCCGTGGGTCAACACCAATGGTACCATTTTGGGGTAGGTGCACCACCCATTTTAGAACATATTTTAGTGAGGATTGGGATGTTCACTGGGGGTACGATTTGGGTTTTGACCCATAGCCATACTTTTTTACCCCTGAGCCAGGGCAAATCCATGGCCCCCTGCTTCTGTCGTCGAGGCCAGGGCCTGCTTCCGGCACTGGCGGCGGCGCGGCACCTCCAGCTGCCGCTGGTCTTCGCGTACGCCGCGGTGCCGAAAGCCTGGGGCAGTCGGCCCACCTACTCCGCCAGCATCCAGGCGAGAGGTCCTTTTTATGTTAGTTTCGATGAACATAGATGGGTATGGGTCAAAATGAAACCACCAAGGGGACCGCTGGTTTTAGTCCATGTTTCCATTTAGCAGGGTTCCATTTTGGGCACCTATTTTTGACCCACAGCCAGATGGCACTGGTTTCGATGGGGTTTGTTCCATTTACCAGGGCCATCCGTTTGTCCAAAAGGCCACCTATGATCCAGGCGCGAGAGCCATGCGAGGTTTGGCGTCGGACGATTCTGGTGTACTCGTTTGGAGATGGGGAAGTCACTGAATTTTCACGCATGCCAAGGGATGTTTTTCTTGGGGGTCATTTTGGCCGGGGAGGGGGTTGAACCGTATGTCTGTTCATCCTTCCCTTGTGAAAGGTGACGTGCATTGGGGGCAGCTTTGGCAAGCCCGGCAAATATATTCTTGAAGAAATAGACCAACAGGCCACTTTTGAGTTTCCGTAGCTGGGATCCCGTTGAGATGTTCAAGGGGTTTGCTGCCGTTTGCCTTTAGGGACGTACTCGTCCGAAGCAGATGGGTGTGGCGTGGGGAGTGGGGGCCCTGCACCAAAGTTTTTGTTTTCCTCTTTTTTTTAAACGTGTATATATATATATATATATGTATATCATGGTTATACATAGAGGACCCTTCCCTTGGTGTTCTGCCCTGGCCGAGACCTCAGGGCAGGGAGCACTGGGTCCTGAGGGAGGCCATCACCGCAGAAGACCGGGTCATCGTCATCGATGACATCGTGAGGACGGGAACGCGAGCGGTTTTCTGGAGTGGTTTTTGTTGGGGAGTGGTTTTCTTGGGAAGTGGTTTTCTTCGCGATGACATCGTGAGTGGTTTCCCTTGAAAATATTCCATTCTCAATCCCTGGTGTCTGAGTCCGAAGCTGCAGCTGGGCCGGAGCAATGATCCTACTGCTCATGGGTCAAAATCCCGTACCCGTCAGGATATTCCATTTCCTTGTAAACCAAAGGAACCCCTGCAAAGAGAACTGGGATCCACCTGAGCCCTGCACCAACTCTGCGGCGTTGACCCCACCCACCAAAAGAGAGTCTGACGAACATTTCCCTGCAATTGTTTCTGTTGTTTGTCCAGCCGCAATTGTGTTATTTGCAAGGTTCAATCTTCCCTTGACCCGCTTGATACCTGTTTTCTGAGTTAGTGAGTCCAACGGAGGCTGCTGCCGAGCGCCACTGGACGCTGCCCTTGGCAGGACCGGGTCCACGGTGGAAGCCTTGAAGTCCATTTGCAAGCGACTTGGCTTCAGAATCTATCACTTCGGTGCGTGTGCCCTGGTCATCTTGGAGGAAGCATGGTTTGGACAACCACGCCCATTGCATGATGTCAGACCTCCTGCTTGTGTCTAGATGACCAGTGAGTTGTGGGGAATGGATGTTTGTCTGTTCGTAGGGTCGCCCCTGAGGCAAGCCGGTGCCACTTTCCTGGGGGCCGGTGCCATCATCCACAACCAGCTCGGCGAGTCTCGCGCAGAGAACTGCACGAGCCTCGTGCAGGCAAAGGACGTGGACGTTCGCCCGACCTTTGGTTTCCTCGTGGATGTTCCTTTGGGAAGGGATTTGGGGTTGGGTGGCTGGAGATTCAAGCCTCACACTTTGCATGCCACTTTTGGTTGCCTTTATGTAGTGGGTTGGTGGAAGTTGGCAGCCACAGCTCTTTTTCCTCTTTCTGCTTCTGGCCAGGTCGTGTGGCCCTCCAATCACATGCTGCAAAATTTATGTCCTTGGAGGGTGCAAACCTGGTTCCATGTTTGCTTCGGCAAGCGTCTCAGCACACATCCACGGCTTCATTCCCTATTCCTGCTTTATCCTGGGTACCTTAAAGTAGAATGGTTGCATTTTGGTGGGTTCCATGGGTTCCCAAATTTACTGTTGGCGGGTCCCCCTTTAAACCACCATTCAGAAGGCCACCACCACCACCACCACCACCACCACCACCAGCACCACCACCACCACCACCACCACCACCACCACCACCACCACCACCACCACCACCACCACCACCACCACCACCACCACCACCACCACCACCACCACCACCACCACCACCACCACCACCACCACCACCACCACCACCACCACCACCCCACCACCACCACCACCACCACCACCACCACCACCACCACCACCACCACCACCACCACCACCACCACCACCACCACCACCACCACCACCACCACCACCACCACCACCACCACCACCAGGGTACTCAATCTCCATGAGGTCATGAGGGTAACTACTTCTGAGCCCGTCTTGCGGCCCCGGTCCCCCCGCTCGGGACCGGTTCGCTCGCAGGTCACCAGCGCGGATCAGAAGCTGAGCATCTGCCCCGCCCCGAAGGAGCTGCAGCTGCCGGAGGTGGTGGCGGCAGATGTGCTCACGCAGCGCGTGCAGAAGGACGATGCAACGCTTGGGAGGGGTCTTCCCAGACCTCCAGCTTGGGCTCGGTTGTTGTTTTCTGTTTCAAGTGTTGGTTTGTTGTTTGAGGACTGCGCTTGAAATCAGTCAACCAGACCAAGGACCTTTTTTCCATGGCCGCGGGAGGTCTGAAGTTTTCGCTTTTGCAGGGTTGCCAGAAGGATGCATTTGGCCATACTGAAATCGCCTTTGCCAAGCTGATTTGGAGGGTCCCATTGTGAATCAGGTGATCGTTTCATGTCTCGTGTGGTTTGGGGCTCCTTTGAAAGGGAGGAAGGGCCGATCGGAGGCGATGTCTACATTCTCGGAGGCTTGGGAACCCCCTTTTGGGGCATGATTTGCAAAGGAGTACGTCAAGTCTTAGATTCCAAGATATTTGTCACTCTACTACAACAATGGTGGCAGAACATATCATATCGCACCCGGCGTGGATTTTGCTGGACGGCGGACTCACGGCGGAGGGTCGGATTCAGGATCCCCATTTTGAGCAGCGAAGTCTAAGTGAGAGGAATTGGCGGAGAACTGTTCACCCACGTCAGGCAAATTCTCCAGGGGTGCAACCTGCACTCCAAATGGTTCACAGTGCCTACTGCAACGACATGTGCCAGGAGGATCCATGATCTGTTTTCAGTTTGGGCGACAGGTAGGCACATGATCATGGTTGTTGTTGTTGTTGTTGTTGTTGGGAAATTTGACATTTTTGCTTATTGTTAACTGCCAACATCTAATTTTTTGCTCCCCTTTCAACGTCAACCAAGTGATAGGTGGCACGTGATAGGTGAAGAGCCCCGCCGTTGATGACACCTCTATTGTACTCCGTCGATCAAGCATCAGCCCTGACCAGTCTTTCACACGGTATCCATGTCAGCCTCGCAGGCGGACTTGGCATAGCTGTCACTTTGCTTCGCCATGCAAGATCACTTTTTAGCCCTTGCAACATCTGAAACTGCCGGAAGCATTCTTCGCTCGTCGGAGGCGGCTGTGCTGCTCTTCCCTCCCTTGTCCCTCACGCGCACAGGACGGCCAAGTGCTGCCGGGGAACCTGCTGAAGGTCTACTCCTTCATCAACCACCAGGCCGGGAGAGGCAATGGCGTTGGTGATGCTTCGGTCAAAATGTCCAACAGTCCATGGTTTATTCGGGAGGGGCATGGGGGACTCTCTAAATCTCCCACAAACAACTGGGGAGAGACTATATCTTTACTGCCCTGCGCAAGGAAGCTTCAATAAGCTAGCAACAGCGCAGAGGATTTCTCTTTGAAGACCTTCATGAAGCAGGGGCGACCCGTTTGCTCAGTGTGTCGCCTTGAAGAAGCTTCCCATATTTATTCTCCCCAGCTGATCAAGAAGCTCTGCGTTTGACATATTATAATAGTGCAAATGTAAAGCAGGGCCTGGACTCTGCTTCAATTGAGTTATGCCAAAGCAATCCTTAATCTCTATGCCCGTCGGTCGGGTCCCCGGAACACCACCAGGTAGAACATGGGGCTTCAGGGCTTCTTGCGACAAGGAAATCCCCTTGCAAGATGGAGTAGTCATGACGGGAATCCCAGCAGGGTATCACACAAGGGGTCATGTCCAAGAACCATGCACCCCTCCCACACAACCCGAAAGAAAGAACACACCCTGGGCTTGGAGTTCACTTTGGGGCATTTTGCTTGTTGCTTGGATGTTAGGATTTTAACTTTTTGCCGACCAATGGGTTTTCTGTATTAAACACTTGTAGCAGGGGAGCAGATTTCGCAAACGAGTTCAGGTGGACACTGGGCTGATGGACATGTGCGGCCAGCTGCTGGGCCGAGTCTTCACCGGGTTCGGCATCCAGAAAGTGCTCACCGCGCAGACCGGGGGTTTGCCCCCGGCCCACGCGGCCCCTTGGGCTGTAACAGCAAAGGGGTAGAACCAGCTCATGAAGGTCCCTCACGAGTTCGCAAGAACAATTGCGCCCAAATTCGTGATGTCTTTGCACAATGGCATGATCTAAGCAAAGGCCTGGAAAGGTCCGCCTGCTCTTTTTCTTTTGGGCGTCAACCTATGACTGCTGTGCTTCCAACGCATGGCTTTCTTTTCCAACGCAGCACCATAGCTCCAGCTATGAACAGACGTTTTACCGAGGGTTTGCCCAAGATTCAGCCTTTTGAAGTGCCCTTTTGAGATGTATGTAGGCTCGTTCCAACAGGCTACCCTTTTCAATTTGTAGGTCCTGGCGTATGCTGGGGGCCGCAGGGGAAAGCCTTTCGCACGCACGGATGAGGACCAGAGCTGGTCTCTGAATTCATGCTCCATAAGACCCAACCGCGGCCTTGCTCTTCACAGTATATACTCAAACTTGACAGTGGCATACTTCCAAGCTTCTTGCCTGCTGAGTTGCGGGTCCGCGTTTCACCGCGTTTGTTTTTGCCAGCCAGGTTTTTGGAGCGTTCAGATTGACCGCGATTTTGAGCAAGCCACATTTGCCACACGTCCCGCATGGTTGGTTTCCTTTTGGTTCCCACCCTGTGCGAATGCGACCCCCGCGCATGCGACCGCCGAGCGTCTGCCCTGATTTCAGGTGGCCAGCGCCTTGCGTGTGCCGCTCATCTGCGCGCGGGAGACCCACGAGAACGACGAGGCGGTGGTGGCGTCGATGTGCCGCGGCAGATCCGGTGGGGTGGACTGGATTCCCCAGGTTTGGGGGGATGGGAGAAGCCCTTTGAGCCACTAGTTAGAGGGGAAGTTTGCATTTGTTGAGCTATCTCTGGCGGAGGCGAGTTGTTTGATGATGCCAGCTTCATGTGTTCAGCTACTTGAGACATCTACACGAGGACACTTGACATTTGGGTCAACACCCAAGCGCTGAGGTCATGCCCCGCGTTCAATGCCTTCCAACAATCATTACACTGCATTGCTGCTTTCTGTCCAACTCCAACTGCTCACGCGAAAGATGGTCGCAGTTTCTCATCTTGGACACATTCCATTAGAAGACGTCCTGCTCGGCCAAGCAAATCGCGTTCTGTGTTTAGCCAAGCCGCAACCACAATCCACCTGAAGCCAAGGTTGACCAAGGGACAGACCTAACCATAGGCGCGGCCGGCCTTCGGGTAGGCCGTTTTGATCTCCGGTTCTGATCGCGTCGAGGTACAGCGCGCCCTCCGAGAGCTTCACCAAGAAGAAGAAGCTGGTGCTCTATGTGACCAAGGCGAGGATGGTTCGCTCATGTTCGCCCCTGGGAACCCAGGATGAAGCAAACACCGTCTTTCTTTTTTGAGAAATTGTTTGGGGGATCCTTCACTTGGGAAACACGTAAGGGAGCGTGGCATTGGCATTTTGCCGGTGTCACAGGTAGTCTTCGGGGGCTTTCTAGGGTGCGCCAGGACGTTAGTGTAAGGTATGAGGCAAGACTGTCACTGCTTGATCGTACATGGTGGAGTTGAGGCCTGTGCTGACAGCATGTTGGTGAGAGACGCAGTTGGGCAGACGCCCCAGTTCCCAGCTGGCCCCACCCTTTGGCGCACTGACCCCAATTCCTCGCCGGGTGTTGGGACATAGGAGTCCCTGTCGCCGGGGGAGACGGTGCTCATCGTAGACGACTTCCTCGCCACGGGGACCACCGGCGTGGCGCTGCATCGGCTGGTGGAGCAGGCGGTGGGGGGGGGGTAGACTTCTTCGGCTGCGGCTGTGGGTAGAGATGTGCCCCGAAAGGGCACCAGCGTCTGGGTGTTTCTTAAAATTGTGTCCCCAGGGTGATTTGCACCCCAAAGTGGCGGCTTTCCTTTTGGTTTCAGCATCCTGGCAAGGCACGATCAACCACAAGCCAGTTTCTACGCTCAAAGGATGTCTTCTGCTTGGGGTTGCTAGGGACGGTCCGCGACCTCTCAGTGGGGGTTTAAAAGCATCAATGTAAAAGTTCCTCTTCAGGGAGCCATTCCTGTGACCCACATGAAGAGTTTTTACCGTGGCACACTTGTCGTTATTCAAGTGAAGAGTTTTGATGGGGGTTGCATAGTTTTTGAAACCATGTCGGTAGAGCCAACGGTCAGCTGATTTTCGGGCTTTGCCCACTTGCCTTTTTCCGAGACGGACGTTCTTGGACATTTGGAGGCTTCTGACGACCAAGAATGGTTCCTCAATCCAAGGAGACATCAATTGGTTGTGCCTGAAAGCCAAACGCGGAAATCCGCTTGACACCTGTTGCCGAGCGAGCGCGGGCAAGCAAGGGGCGGGGGGGCGAGGGAGGAGCGCAGCGGCTCGAGGCACAGGGGCAAGTCTGCGGCATGGCCTTCCTGGTGGAGAAGCGCTTTCAGGATGGTCGAGGCTCTCTTCGCTGGGGCAGGGCCTTGAGGAGGTGGACCCTTTAACAGCCGACGCGTGCGTTCTGATTGTTCTGGGCCCAAGTTTGCGCACATTTTTCCGGGGGCTGTACTTGGACTGATGCTTGGGAATCTCAATTGGTGCTCTTGCTGCAAAAGGGTCAGGTGGTTGATGCGATCTGGCTGAGAGGGTGTGCTGTTTGGCTGGTGATACCCGGGCGCTTGCAGGCCGGCTGTTTGGCGTTGGCTGGAGTGTTTCTCAGCGTGATGGAGTCCGGTGTTTGTGTGAGCGCTTCGCGACAATGTGCTTCCGTGAACATGCTGAATTTGTCGCGAGGATTGCAGGCTCTGTATGACCAATGTATTGAATGTCATTTTTCCAAGCGGGGGAACGTACTGGAAGTAGGGTTTCAGTTCACTGCCAGCTCTACGCCACGCAGGTGTGAGTCTCTTTTCGATTCTGGGTGCCCAATCGCCTGAGGCAAAATCCTCCGGGAGTTGCCGCATATGGCGGGGCGCATCGTGTCGCTGGCGTGCATCGAGTCCATGTCAGAGCAGGGCATCAACTTGGATTGCAAGGCGCAGGGCCCAATTTTTTTTCTTCTTCCCCCCGTTTTTTTCTTCTTCTCCCCTAAGTGTTTGGTGGGGGGGTGTTTCTATCGTCTCAACCAGGACACAGTGTACTCTGTTCCGGGCGCTCGGCAAGTAAGCTACGGCATTGGTTTCATTCTGTTAGGTGTCGGGTTGCCCAGAAATTATGATCTTTTGTGGGACCTGGGTGTCATTCTGCGCGGCTTTGGCGCCCTGTTTAAATCAACTGCTTCTGGCCCCTTTCTGTTGCGCGAGATTCATTCGGTGCCTGCCTGCGAGTGCACCATGCTCCGCTTGCAGAAAGACAGCGCGATGCGTATTCGGTTCGTGGCTCTTCCGACGGAGGTGGTGGGGGACTGCCAGCCGCTCTACTCACCAGACGAGAAGGTGATGATCGACCGGGTGGTGCAATGTGCCCAGCCGGGCACCGGCGGCCTCATCAATGCCGCGACCTTTCTCAACCATGTGGTGCGGTGCCCAGCTACCCCTTTTAAGCAGCCAAGTAAGTCGATTGGTACCTTGGGAGCCAGAATGGGGGTAAGAGAAGACCACGGAAGACGGGCATAAACGGGGGGAAACGCCCCAGTTTTGCCCTGTTGGCAGCTGTTCCGAGGTGGACCCGAAGCTCATGGACGAGGCAGCGGTACTGCTGGCGCGTCGCTTCGCGGACTGCGAGGCGAGACCGAAGGGGTCGGGCGGTGTTTTCCTTTTTTGTCTTTTTCTTTGGGGGGGGGGGCTGGGGAGCGGATGGCCGTTGTCAATGCACATTGGAAGCCTCTGACAGAAACCCCCTATGCATTGATGTCCAACGCTTCAGAATCTGAAGTAGGGCATCGCTGAGGACAGCTCATTCGCCATGATATCCACACCCACGGCGCAAAGTCGCACCAAGAACCATTTGGTATGAGTTTTGAGTGGTTGGACCCTTTGATGCAGAGACGCCGTGTCTTTGTTCAGGAATTTGCTTTGGAATGGACATCAAGCGTTGCAAAGGGGGCAACAATCATGTGGCACGGCTTTCTTCCAAGCTAGCTGCGGCACTAGTCTACAACTCCACCTGCTACATGGTTGAGTTTTCGCCGGTTGCTCACCTGCTTCTCATGGGACATCTAGCACTAACTCTTATCGACTTCTCTTACGGCCTGAGATTCCTCGCCTGAGCCATCAGTTGATGCCCTGGCCATTTGGACGTCGCGCTTCGATGGAAACAAATCCTCGCCCGCACCTCCGCGCTCCGCTCCGCGCGACTCCGCTCGACGGAGGTGGGTTTGGTGCTGAGCGCGGAGATGTCGGGCCTGGCGGTGGCCCAGGCCCTGGCGCGGCTGCTGCGGGTGCCGCTGCTGTGCGCCCCTTGGAAAGGGAAGTGGGGCCGGAGGCGACTCGACTCGGCCAAGAATGCCCCCAACTTTCCCGTTTTCGCAAGTGAATCTACACGATTTGTGGCTGGGCATTCCACCTTCCCAACCTGAGTGAAGGGAAGGTCCTGGACGCCCACTTGCCTAAAGGCTTTTGTTGGGCACTCCACGTGGGTGGCGCTTCGCCCAGGCGCGGCGGGCCCGGAGCCCCGTGATGCTCGCGGCGGGCGACTCCGCGGTGCTGGCGGCCAAGGTGGAGGGCAGCACCGACGAGAGCCGCGGGGAGCTGGTGATCTTCAAGGCGACGCGGGCAAAAGCGGCGAAAGCGGCGACCGCCACGAAGCGGTTTGCCTGGTTTGCGTTGCCCCCGCTTTCTTTGGCCCCGAAAGTCGAGCCGAAGAAAAGGGAATGGACGCCTTTCCCAGCTTTCAAGACTTGTTTTTTTGGTGTGTGTGTGTGTATAGAGTGCCTTTCTATGTTCTCTCTCATTATTCTGGGCCCTAAGATTGATGTTTAAAGTTTCGGAGGTGGACATTTAAGGACCCCTGCTCTCGGCTTGAGGGGACCATACCCCAGCCTGAACAAATCCACTGGGTCATTCACTTCTGGTGGCTCGTGCCTGAGAGGAGCATCTCCGGAAAGACGACAGCGCGCCTGGCTTACCGCGCCACAGATTGGCCCTGCTGCCGGTTCCATTTTTGGACTGCCCCAAAAATCGACCTGCGCCCCAGCTTTCGCCAATCTTGGGCTGTTGGGGAGCGCCGATGCAGCAGTACCCTGGGCCCAAGCTGTTTGCAGTTGGCATCAAATGACTCTCAGCCGGGGGCCAATGAAGCAGCAAAGGTTCGGGGCAGCCCCAAACCGAACCTAAATCAACCCTAAACTAACCCTGAACCACCCCCAACGCAATCCTAAGCAAACCACCAACAGCCAAACGCTATTGCAAGGTGCTGGTGGTGGATGACATCTTGGGCAACGGCGCCACTGCCTTGGCCCTGCAGGAGATTGAGCATGGCTGTCTCACAGGAAGCCAGGATTCACAAAATGCTTGTGGATTACTTAAGATGGCTGTGGGTCAAAACCAATGGAATCCCATCTTGGGGTAGGTGCACCACCCATTTTAGGCTCATGGCCAGATGGCACCAGAAGCAAGTTTGCTCCTCTTCAGGTCTTTAGTTGAATCTTGTAGTTGACCATCGCCCATGGATGTTCCCGTTCTACTTGTCGCACACTGTAGGTCCTTTTGGATGGCCCTTGTAGTCAAGTTTGGATCAGTTGCACCTAAACAAGAAATACATCTTGCGCAGCCGTATACTCGTGCTGGGATCCATTCGCTGTACGTAAGCCTGTGTCAGTGGTGGATGTGGACGTACTAGTGTTTGGTTGGTGTAAGCTTCGTACTCCGTATATCTAGACCTTTGTCTGGTCAAGTGTGGTGTTGGATGTGTCAGCTTTGTCCACGTCAACGTCACGCCTTGTGCCTTGATTGAGATCTCTGCTAGACCGGCAGCGTGGCTCCCCCGTGGCTTGGTTTGAAGTGGGCTTCAATGTGGCTCTGGGGCAGCCCGTGCAAGACCTTCGCTGCAAGAAGTGCAGGGCTTGTGGTAAAAACTGGGATCTGAGATTTGTCAGGCTTATGGTCATGCTTGAGCTGGCAAAGCTTGGGGTGGGCCGAGACGGCTGAAGGCTGGTTCAGAGGATGGCTTGGCTTAATTAGAGGAGCGGCCATGCGAAGAGTCGAGTTGTGATTTCCACTTTTGAACCTCACCCTGAACGCGAAGGCGTGCCGATTTAGCACGAAGGAGTAGCCCAAGAAGCTCTCCAAGATCACCCCAAGGGTAAGCTCCAAATAGCGGACCTATGGGTGGCCGATCAGCCCCATCTCAAAAGTCTGGGAGAGTCTGGGAGCGTGGGGATGCGTTCGAAGCCTCTGCGAAGTCTCTACGTTTTCTCCTTGTTTGTTGTCCACTTTCTTTTCGGCACTGCGTCTCCCTAGGAGCTCTGCGATGCGGCCGGCGCCAGAGTGGTTGGCATGGGCTTCCTCTTGGAAAAGGTGGGGCCGTCGGCCGTCGGACTCGGAGGGTGGGGAAATGGATGAAGATGGGCGCACCCTTTACTTCGTTTTTGGCCGTGTGTCAACACCAATGGGATCCTATTTTGGGGTAGGTGCACCACCCAGTTTAGGCTGTATTTTTGTGGGGATTGGGATGTTCACTGGGGGGATAACCGGGCCTTTTGACCCATGGCCATTTGCTGAGAGTGTGGTTGAGAGTCTCAGGGAGGGGCGCAGAGGGATCCGAAACTTCCTGGAGGGGACGGCGCGACGGCACGGCCACCAGACGGCTCAGCATGGCTGAGAATGGGTTGCGTTCCGTGAAACGGGTGTGGCTTTTGAGGATACCAAGGTTTTAGTTTGGTTTAAAGGGACACTAGAAGGAGTATTTGTTTTGTTTGTGTCCTTTTGTGACCCGCCCAAATGGACAAGGCAGAGCCCATGAGTTGCGGGCAGTCTTGCCCACAAAAACTTGACTTTTGTCGCGCCAGTCCAACTTTATTTCGGTGTGTCCATGCATCCTTTGCACCAGGTGAACCTTCTGAGGATAGCACTCCCAACAACGCAGCCAACCATGCTACCACCAAACCTACAGGCGTCGAACCTTCGCCAAGCGCAAAAAACATGCCTGTCCCAAGAGTAACAGCTCGGCCACGCAGATGTGAAACCACGCTCGTGCTTGTTAGGGTTCCTGGTGTAGGATGCATCCGTAAGCATCGCCTACCAATCCCAACGGCTATGCAATCAGGTGGTTTACCTGTCATGGTCAGCACCGGTCTGCTCCTTGCAACATCAGCACTTAGCAGGGCCGTTTGGCCATGTTGTTTGTGACCGGCAACCCCCTATGAACTTAGCATACCAACCTAAATGATGGTCCGCCAGACAATTCATACCGGTGTGATACTGTGGATGGACGAACTCCTGCACCACCTAAGAAACCCTAGAATGATATGTTCCCCCGCAAGTACCAACCAACCATGGTGTCCCATGGTGCAGTGGAAGGATTTTGTCCATCCACCGTAGAACTGCCCCTGCTCTCCGAGGTCTTCCAGCACGGCCGGGGCAAGATCCTGGCGAAGCGGCCCCATCTGTCGGCCCCGGCCTCGGACGTCGGAGCGAGGTTTTTGCTGGGCAAGTTAGAACGATGGATGCAAAAACATGAGACTCACCCATGATGTCCCTTTTTGTTGGGATTCCCTTTTTCCGGTTTAAGAACTCCAGTCATTCAAGTCAGTCGCCCGGTTTTCTTGCATGCTTGTTGGAGGGTCTATGGCATGGAAAGAGCTTCTTTTGGGTCACGGAGTAATGAGTTGCCCACTGCGAAGATATTTCCTTCGAGTAAGGGCTTCATCAGGTGCAAACTGAGCCCGTTCCATTGGGAGTTGCTGAAAAGGGAGTACTTACCTGGGAGTGTTCTCTGGTTCCACTCATCGGGCGACGCTCAGGATGGCATCGTGGCCCTGACGAAAATCCTTTCCATGGATGACACAGGTGCGGGCTAGCTGCAGCGCACAGTTGATGGAGGGGTCTGCGAGCAAAGACAAACAGATGGGGAAGGGCCCCTTGCAAGGAACATTGTGCAGCCATCAATCCTTGCCAAGCTCATAGGAGTTTCCCGGAAGGTTTCACGAAGTTCATGGAAATGCATTCCCGCCGCTCTTGTTGGAGACTCCTCTTGCGTTCATGCAACTCCCTTTCAGCAAGGCGGCCACGCGCCGTTTCGCGCTGGCGCCACGCGCAATGTCGTGTTGGCATTTGGGTCTGTCTCTATTGGAGGGTAATGAGAGGCAGGTACCCTTGTTGGGGTTGCTTCAACGGGAAACCAAGAGATCAAAAGATCCAAACCACCAAACTCAATTGTGCGGGTCCCCCTACTTTGACACACACACCTACGGGTTCCGCCGCTTTTCATTAAGTGCCCAACCATGGCCCTACCAACCAAAACCCAAGATGTCCTCGCGTTTTTTCGGCCCAACGCTTCGTGGCCCTAAATCCAAGCAGATCCCTCACCCGCGCAGGGCTGAAGGTGTTCCGCTGCCCGGAGCCGGCGCGGGAGACCTGGCTGCGGGTGGCCCGGGAGCTGTCGCGGCGCATGGCCGCGGAGGTGGAGGTGGATGCCCCGAGGCGGGGTGGGGGGGTGGGGGGGCCGGGCGTGGGCGTGGGGGAAGACGGGGGCGCGGGGGTTTTACGTCGCCTTCCAACCTCCGCGTTGCGAAGAACCCAAATGGACGTCTGGGATTCAACTTGTCAAGGTATCGTTGTTGTTGCTGGAAGTGTCATTGTGTTGGCATCTTGCCATCTGGGCGTTGGCGAATGTGTGGTGTGTGGGTGTGTGGGATGGGTGGGATGGGTGGGATGCGTGGGATGGGCGGGGTTGGTAGCTGAGGCAAAGGGCAGTATTCGCCATGTTTCTTTGCGACAAACAAGTGTGATCATGTGCGACTGATCAGATTGAGCAGGTGAGCCGTGTGCTTCAGGGGGGGGTCCTGTCGGAAGGTGGGAAGGGTGGTGGACAGGGGTTGCTAGTCAAACAGAGAATTCGCACGACTGTGAGCCTTGCATTTCTACTGCCTCAACGTGCCACTGCAAGCTTTTGTAGTCAACATGCGACCCATTTGAAGCACTGAGCCGGCGCCCAGCTTAACCTTTCTGCGTGCCAAGCTGAGCGTGGGCTGTGTTCATGCCGGTCGGAGACCAGTGGAAGGCGCGTGCCGTCGGAGGAGGTTCATCCTGCGTGTGCCGAAATGGTCCCCGGCAGGAACGCGATGAAGTTCCGCTCGGTGCTGGCCTCAGGGCGCACTGGGACAAAGTCTCATACCAATCGAGTCAGGGGAATCCATATGGGCAAGCAGCGCCCCCAAAGAAGGCCATTATGGCAGCATCCTGAAACCATCACGTTGAATCCAAAACGCTGCAGCGCCAACTCCACTTGAACTATCCTAGGTTCAGCAACCCTAACTAGCCCGGTATAGTATGTTTGATAGAATCAACCTGTGACCTCAACCAAACCTACCCCAAGCCCATGCATGAATGAATGAATGAATGAATGAATGAATGAATGAATGAATGAATGAATGAATGAATGAATGAATGAATGAATGAATGAAGGAAGGAATGAAGGAATAAAAAAATGAATAAATAAATGAATGAATGCATGACTGAATGAATGACATGAAATGAAATGAAATGAAATGAAATGCCATGACATGACATGACATGAAGTCAAGTGAAATGAAATGAAATGAAATGAGATGAGATGAAATGAATGAATGAATGAATGAATGAATGAATGAATGAATGAATGAATGAATGAATGAATGAATGAATGAATGAACGAACGAACGAACGAACGAACGAACAAATGCATGCATGCATGCATGCATGCATGAATGAGTGGATGAGTGGATGCATGGATGGATGGATGGATGGATGGATGCATGGATGGAAGAAAGAAAGAAAGAAAGAAAGAAAGAAAGAAAGAAAGGAAGGAAGGAAGGAAGGAAGGAAGGAAGGAAGGAAGGAATGAATGAATGATTGAATGAATGAATGAATGAATGAACGAACGAACAAACGAACGGAATGAATGAAATAATCAATTAATCAATTAATCAATTTCTGAACATAGATAAACACATTCATGACTAGACAGATTAAGGCATGAAACAAATGAAGAAATAAGCAAGCAATCCACCATGCACACACACACACACACTTGGATAGATGGCTGGCAGGCTGGCTGGCTGGCTGGATGGATGGATAGATAGATGGATAGTGCCGTAAACACACACACACAAACACACGCGCATCGGGCCCGATGTGAGGTGCTGGGCTTCCACATGAGCATGGACCCCGTGATGCTGGATGCCTGCGGCCACGTGCTGGCGGCGCAGTTCGCAGGGGTTACCAAGGTTCTCACAGGCGCTGGGGCTTTCGGCCCACGGAACTCAAGACGGGGAGGGTTAGGGAGTTTGGGGGGTGGGGGTTTGAGGGGTTGAGGGGTTGAGGGGTTTGGGGGGGGGGGTTCAGGCGTTTGGTGGGGGGAGGAGGGTTCGAAGTTGAAAGAACCTCAGCTTTCCGTTGCAAAGCAGTTGGGTGGCAGTTTCCTTCGAGAGGCGAGCGCTGATGGGGGCGGGTGATTGGAGCTTCCTTTTGCGAGTGCAGCGCCCAGCTCTCTCACACAAGCGGGCCGATTTCGGAGTGGCCCCCGCGCGGCTTAAGGTGCAGCATGTTTGAGCGCTCAAGCTTCCCACAAAGTGGTGACTCTTGATGATGTGAGTTTGGGCGTTGATCGCCGCGCGTGACGCTTAAATCTCCAGCGCGGTCGAAGCCAGACCCCGTGCCCCAAACGAACCCCTGAGCCCCAAACCGAAGTCACTCCGAGAACCTTGGCCCCCCATGATAATCGAATCGTGCTGAGGGTTGCAAACGTCAACCGGCGAAGAGGCTTGAGCTCGATTTGCAGCTTCAGTTGGCGTTAAGTGGCCGTCCCCTCTAAGCCCGAAGCCCAATGTCTTTGACTTCTGACATTAGGCGTAGCCTGTTTCTACAATCCACAAAGCATCCGTGCGGGCCACGGGTCTGAACCTCATCGCACGAAAACATGGAGCCTCTCCTGACTTCTTCCTGCTGGCATTTGTGAGTCAGAAGCTGCTCGCTCACCTCAGCTTGCAGGAAGTAGGAAGTGCTTTTGCTTCCGTCCGAGAGTTTGCCCCAACGAGAGCGAAGACGAAGACTTCTTGCTTAGTTACTGTTGTCCGCGTGTTGCTGTCAATGATACCGAAGTTGAAACTGCGAATGGTGCCAGCTCGAGCTTTGTCTGACGTGGTTCTCAGAGCTCAGGCCTTCGGCGTGTCAATCGCCCGCAAAGTTACCTTTCGTTCACACGCTGTTGCACTTTATTTGGATGGCTTTGTCCATTGAGGCTGCTTGGGAGCGCGCGTGGTTACTTGCGAGTGCCTTCCCACAAACCCGGTCTAGCCAACCTTCCCCACCCTCTGGTTCGGTCTGAGACCGAAGGACACCTGGTTGGAGTCATTTGAAGGTGGCCTTCAGCGGGAAAAAAGTTCTGGTTGCTGGTGAGATTCTCCGGCCCTCGCGGAAATCATTTTTCTGGGAAATTTTTTCCAGGTTTGGACGGGGACCTGTTTTTTGGATTCCTGGCCTCAAAACGCTTCCGTTCAAGTGAGGACTCACAGCAAAAAAGCCTTCGCGGCGCCTCCCGAGCACTGGAAAGAATCGCTTGCAGGGCTGGGAAGAATCCACCTGCCACGCTTTTGTTGTTTTGCAAAAGTTTTCTCTTGTCCGGCGGCGCTGAAAGCAAAGAACAAAACCAGCGTCCGCCCTTGATTTCCAGTGAACTGAGTTTCTCTCCCAAGATGTTCCATCGGTTTCGGCCAACTTGCCCCCAGAATTCCTTTGGACTGGGCGCCTCAGGCCAGACGAAAAATGTCGCTGCTTGGGATTGGGTGGTTCAGCTTGCTCCTACCTCCCGGGCGTCGCTGTTTCACCAGGACAACGTGTGCTCAGGACAAGGACCGTCTCACCTTTGCCATTTGGTGGAGGACTGTCGGCTTCCGTGTTGCGAGCTCAGTGGAAATGGTCTCGCGCCGCGGCTTGCGGCTAGGCGCCACAGTCACTGCCGTGTGCGCCTGGGGCCACGCCTTGGAGGCCGACCAGTGCTTTTGGCGCAACGTCCTGTGCTGTTCGTCCTTCGGTAGAGCTCGCGCGAGAGTGATGTCCTCGCTCCAAAATCCCGCCCTTGCGCGCGAACATCATCCTGCTGTTGCCCTAAGGTGTGCGGCAATTCTCATATGGCTGGGGGCGCGTTCCTTTCACCTCAAGCTCGCCCAGCCAGACGTGGCGCCGTGCCTTGAGAGGATGTCCCGAAATAGGCTGGGAGGAAAGCGCAGAGCCCACGTAACCCCCTCGTCGACGGCTCACCTTCGAAGTGAGTGGAGGGGTTGACGGTGGGCGATGGTTCGGGGGTGACGGTTGGGGTGGGCTAACGGGTGGGTGGAGGGTGGTATGCAAGTGCCCAAAGTTGGCAGCCCATAATTTTGGTAGGAGGTTTGGTTTCTTCCTGGCACGCCAGCCAAAGTGTCGGGATTATTCTGTACTGAAAGTCTTGGGACGCATGCTTGGAGGGGCACCCGTCACTGTTTGACCTCAATACGTCAGGCAGGGACAAAGGCAAATATTGCTATTCATACGCCCAGTCGCGTTTGCAAATGTTGGTTGTTTCTCCTACCGATAATGGCTTGAACAAAAAGAATTGAACGCAGGAAAAACAAAATGGTGCAATGGCGTACGGGAAAACAGTTATCCAACTGCAATTTGAGCAGGGCGCATATTGAAGGAGCACCTGCGCAAAAAAAAGACGACATCAACGTTTGTACGCCAGCGCGTTCAGACGAATCATTGCACGCCACCAACGCGTCAATTTGGTGAATGAGCAGGGCCGGCTACCAACGCCGCTCTCATGTTTCGGCGCACGCCCGGCAGGCGCTCCTGTGCAGGGCCTGGCGGTCGCTTACGTGGTGGCAAGACACTGTGAAGTGCCCATGATCTTTGCGCGCGCCTGGGGCTAGCAATGACGAGGGCTTGCCCGCTGAAACATTGGTTGACATTTCGTTCCCCGGAAACACAGTGGCATCAGCCTTTCTTTTTGGAGTTGCTTTTGGTTTGTTTTCAGGCACGTCTGGCCTAGTTGGAGGCCAAGGCTCGACAACACTCCCACAGGAAGCGCTCCCTCCGCGACAGTCTTCTGTTGAAGTGAGCCATAAGATGTGCCAATTTTTGGAGACTCCCAACAGTTGAAGGATTTTGTCCTTGGATCTCAGGTCCTGAGATGTTAGGCTACGTTAGGAGTAGTTCTTCGACGCAGGGGTCACACTCTCGTCAGGTGATGCCTGATGACAAGTGAGCCTGGTCATAAGTGGGATGAACAGGAAGGGCTGCGCATGGAGATTAGCTATAACCCACTCAGCGCCGCTCCTGAAATGTCTGAACAGAGGCTTTTTTCTCCTTCAAAGAGGTGGCGCCGAACTGACGGGAGAATCTGCTTCTGTGAAAACAATGTTGATCCCGACAAACAACACCTCTCAATGGGTCATCAGAGAGGTCCCCATTGGTGGGGATTCCTTTTTTTCCGGGGATGTTATCTGGGGGGTTTTGGGCCAGCATTGCTGGGTGAAAGAAGTATCGCATCTCGGCTCAATCCCCTTTCCCCAGCCCGCCATTGTGCCTTTCACCCGCGGTTTCGGGGCCGATCCGAGGCCATGGGGTGCCGCTTACCATGAAGGGCCAGCGGATCCTCAGCGCGCAGGCGGGTGTACCCCCAGAAATCCAGGCCGCACCTGGCGATGTCCGAGTCTTGTGTTCGTACCTGGGGTCTTTGTGCTTTCTTTGTGCTTGACAGGGTTTCCTGCCTCTCGTGCACCACGTGCCGTCCATTTTTTGCGGGGTTCATGTGCCCTCCCACATCAAGGTTTATCACAGAAGCTCTTGAGCAGACCTCATTTGTTTCGACCAGCCCCCCGGCTGCAACAAAAAACAACATCGCTTGTGCCAGTCCTTTGTGATTCCGTCAAGCACCGCTTGCCCAGTCGGCGCCCTCGGGCACCTTCAACGTGTCGGCGGAGTTCTTCGGGCCCTCGGACCGGGTGCTCATCGTGGACGACTTCGTGGCCTCCGGGCGGACGGCGCTGGCGCTGAAGCAGATCTGCCCGGGGCCACGGGCGCAGATCCGCAGATCCGATCGGGTCTTTGCAGCAGAACCCACCATGCCAGCGACAGGTTTTGACTGCGGCTGAAATCATCGCAAACACGCGCAAAGTCTGGCCATTGGGATCCAGGATAGCTGCAAGACCTTGAACAGTTGATCATGGAACTCTCTTCGACAGAGCAGCAGGTGGCAAGGACAGGAAAACACATTGTGTACCAATGGAAGAGAATACACAAAAAATCACCACAACACACTTCTTGAGCTTGACTTGGCTCATCGTACTTCCAGCGGGCTTTGTAGGACGACTGGGCGACACAACCAGCACACCACCGCTTTAGTCGAGCAACCAGTTTCCGCACCTACTTATGGCTGGGACTGTCCCTCACTGGCCTTCACTTCAGGTTTTGAGCAAGTGGCTCATGTGCGCTTTTCTTTCAAGAGAGCTGCTTTTCTTTCAGTTTCAACTAGCAATTTCACTGGTTGTTCTCCATTTGTCGCTTTTTGTTCGGCATGCATAAGGAAATGCTATCGGTTGAAGTTGAGCTTGGTTTGAACTTGAAACTGCATTCAATCTTTGGAGATGCTTTCCAAGTTTAATTTGCAATAGATGTTATTGACAACTGTTAAATCGAATTGGACAACACATCTTCTAAATGGGTTTACTTTCCAAGGTTGATTTGACGAGACTAGAGCGAGACTGTAAATGGATTCATGCATTTTTCGAATTTAATTGGAAGGCAAATGGAACTGCACCAGGCCATGGAGCACTTGTATGCTTGAATTTCAGTTTCAAATAGCAATCCAGCTAGGAATGAATTCATTTCCTGCGAACAAAAACGATGACAGAGCTATTATAGGCACGTCGAAGCTACCAAAGTGTACTTTATGTACCACGCTTCTAGTGACAAGTTGCGTTTTTTGAGCTGGAGCCGCCAAAGTGTACTTCGCTTACCGCATTTGTAGTGAACACATGCGACTTTCGAGCTGCTTGAAATAGGAGCTCTCTTCTAAAGTTGCTGTTTTGTCCTCTAAATCGTGTGCGATTAGAACTTGTTTGGATTGAAAGGGCGTAAATTCTTTCAAGATTGAGATGGGTTTCAATTTCTTACAATTGGGTTGGGAGACGCCCGAATGATCTGGAAGTGTTTGCCAAATAACTGATGCAACGCAGGCCCACAGTCTGGAATGTCGTCTCTGAAGCTAGGTCCAAAGGAGAGGGGGTTGCCTATGTATGTACGTATATATTATATATATATGTACACGATCTCGGGATCTCGCTTTCGCTTCAGGTGACAGCGCCAACGTGCCAGTGGCCGGCTTCGCTTTTGTGGCGTTAAACCAGACGCGGCTGGTGGGCCCAAGGGACGCAGCCAGCCACCCAGCCGAAGGAGGCGTGGGCCGAAAGCTGCAGAGCTTGGTCTAGGGGGAACTGAAGGGATGCCAAGGATGCCGTTTGAATGCTCCAGGGAAGATTTCGTGCCCCTGTGCTTTTCCCAGTATCTTTGAAATCCCGTCACAAAAGTGACCGACTGAGATTTGGGCGCCAGGATGTCTTTCAGACTTACTTGTAGTGGAAGACACGGTACACTTTGACACAGGCTCCTCATTCACCGAGCTGTGACGGACTTGGATTGTTTGCATCCCAGCTGGATGAAGATTTGGCTGGAGGTGATGCTTCTCATTTCGACCAGAATCCATCCGCACAGTTTCTGGCATCTGGTGCAGTTGTTTTTGACCGCCAAGCTTGGTAATGCGTGAATTCCTTTTCCAATGGAAGGGAAAGTTGAAGCACAAAGATTAGATCCGGTCGATCCGGAGCTTGCAGCCACGCTCATGTTGTTTTGGACCCAGACTGCCTGGGATAGTGTCAGTCACATTGACGCCGTGCAACTGTTCGAGAAGCAGAGTGATACAACATCGAACAAATCAGACAGGCCATGACGGTCCTAATGTTGGAGCGTCCAAAGCAACCTGTTTGGGGGGGGGGTAAATGGCAGCCATCACACTGCCACACCCAAAGGCTATGCCTTCATGGGTTGGGGTTGCAGACCCTTGGGCTTGACGGCCTTGTTGCCAGGCAAAGAGGCACTCGCCGGAAGCAAGGCCTGGCTCCGTTACAGAGGAACAGGTCTGAGGATTGAAGGTGTCGCAGTTTTTTGCTTGGGACATCCTTGCATCTTTGGCGTGGCACATCCTGACTTTTCAATACCGCGCAACGGCACAAACTGTCTTGTTGCCGTGGAACTTCTGAATGAGTGTGGGAGGGTTGTCTGTCGCCACACTGTAAGGATCCAACTTTAGGACATGGAGACGCGCCACTTGGGCGATCAGCATTTGTCCTTGGCCGCGTACATCTCTTTGGTTTTGGTCAGACGTGTTCTGCTGAATACGATTTCAGGTTTTGATTGGTATTGCTAGATCAAATCTTGCTCATCTTGGGAAAATTTGAGCACGTGTGGTACGATGCGGTGTAGTTCCTGCAGGTTTCAACCCCGAAGTTTCCGTCTTTGAGGCCCTTGAAAGTGCCGAGGTGGTCCAAAGTGCATGTTGAGATGTGAGGTCTACTCAACGCGCCTGGCCTCCTTTGGCACGCTGGCGCCCTGACAGGTCGTGACGCTGGTGGAGTGCACGAGGAAAGGCAACCAGGTGGACGTGCAGCCGGCGGAATGGCTGCGGCGCCTCGCGTGAGGACGCGAGGACTGGAGGGACTTGTAGGGGGTGAGTGGCGTAGCTGACGGCGGGGTCAGTGAGTTGTTCCGTTAGGGCAGAACCCATGGCTCGGTGGCAAAAGACAGCCTCAGAGAGGGCAACATTTTGCTGGAAGGCAGTGCAGGTACATGACCCAAAAAAGGCTCTTTTCTCGGGTGGCCCTGGTCAAACATGTTGGTCACAGTACGTGCCTATCTTGCTTGGGCTGGGGGATTCCAGTACCTGTGACGGAGCAGCTTCCTTCCTCCTTTATTCCACGGATCCTGGATGTCAACGTAACTCCGCTTTGTCAATCGCAACCCAGTGGACTCCTGGACAACTTATTCCCCTGCTGCATGAGCTGCCAACCCAACTCCAGGCCCTGAAGGCTTCATCGCAACGCCGGACCAGGCTTCCCAGTCCACGAACGAGAGACACATCGCTAGGAGTGCCAGTCAGCTACGTTGCGGCGCCCTCGTTGGCGCGCAGGTCCATTCCTTAGTTTTGCAAGGGAGACCGCATGGTTGCTAATATAATATAACTCTCGCAAGACAGACCTGCCGGAGTCAATGTATACACAAGTATATTTACATATAATTATATATATATATATATATATGTATACACAGCAAGTTGGCACCGGATATTTCAGTTTCAGGTGTACATCTGGCGGAGCAGTCCTGCTGGCTAATCAGAACTTCCAGCTGAGGCATGATTTGGCCTTGCCCCACCTGGGGGCAGCCAACAAACCCCAGGCCCACAGGAAGCCTTAGGGTGACGTGCAGGGCCAGGGGCGCTGAAATGGCCAAAGGGCCAGTCAGCAGCTTCTATCGATTTTGACGAGGCGCGACCTCCGAATTGGAACCTGGCACCTTTGCAGATTCCATGTCGGCGAGAGGGTGCCCGCCTTTTGTAGCCATTTATTCCGACTGTCGGTGGCGGACAATTCAAGACGTTCGGCAGAGCTTTTAACTTATGCAAGGCGTGCAGATTGCAAAGTGAACCAGAGTGCAAATGTAATTTGCCTGGGCAAACCATAGCTACCCCGGGCATGAGGAGGTGGATGCATGGTTTGACTCCATTTTCGCTCGAGGAGTGATTGTGTCTCAGCCATGTTTATATAGCAAAGCGCCGCCTCAGGACATCCACACTCGTGACTGTCGGGGCTTTTTTGCAATCACACGCCTGGAGCGTTTAGGGCCGAACTCTTGAAGCTTTGCTCCTCTCGCAGTGAGGCAAAGATCAAAAGACCGGCGGTGTGTTGCAATCTTGGCAATGCGGACTCCTGAGGTTCAAGGGTCTCGAAACTCCCGGGAAGACCACGTCACGTTTTGTTGTTGAGAGAATCAAGAAGCAATTTGCCTCGGGGCCTCGGGGTGACCAACAAATAGCACCGGCAGTTGTCAAGTTGCATGATAGTTGGAAAGAGGAGGTTGTGAGAATTCAAATTACTACCTGATGGGAAACCACATGGTGGCAAATAGTCAGGCTCCACTGCTTGAGACCCAAATGACCAAACAACCTGTTAAGCTGATTTCCAGTTTTCCAACTATCTAGTAACTAGTCACCAAATCATTCAAGTTGTCCAGACTTGGGCTACATTTTACATTTTACCGGTGACTCAAAGTGAAGCAAACCATAAGATCTACATTCTGCTGGGCCTCACTCTATTCATGTCAAAGTGTCCAAATGGATGGCTCTTCTCCCGAGCCTCGGAGACCGGTGGAACCGCACGGCTCGCGGGAGGCGGCCAGCACAGCCGTGGCGGAGAGCGAGGGCCGAATCTTGGACGGCGTGGCCATCCGCTTCAGGCGAGATCGGGGGATGGGCGGAGGGGCGGAGGGGCGGAGGGGCGGAGGGGCCATGGAGACTTGGAGGAAGTTTCCGGAGAAAGGCTAAAAAACATAAATAGCGTGAAGGAGGTGGATGCAGAGAGACTCTAGGTGTCAATGAATGTGTGTGTGTGTGTGTGTGTGTGCGCGCGCGTGGGTGTGCGTGGGTGTGTGTAATGTTGGCGAAAGGTGTTGTGGATTGGACAAACTATTTGGGGGCTAAAAGATGGGACCAACTATTTTATTGTACAGTTTCCTGGGCAAGGAGCCTCACTCATTTGGAATGTCAGTCAGATTTAGAGCCACTTTGGAGGGATGCGGATGATTTTGCAGGCACTGTCAATGATGTATCTGGCAAAGCCAGAGATGGTGGCATGCGCGCTGCACCAATTCTTGCATGGCGATTGCATGCCCTGTATGATAGCTGCCATCTCCTGAGGGGGAGTTGACTCTGAGGTGACGGGTTTCAGCAACTTCCGCACCCAGAACCACACGCACACAGACAAAGCAATCACTTCAGAGCTGACCCACAAAGCTGTGATTTTCTCGGTTGGTTGCGAGCTCATATTTCCTGCAGGCAGGACGAGGGGACCTTCGAAGTGCCCGTGGATCTGATGGAGGCGCGGTGCCGGCGAGGGCAGCCTGCGGGGGGGGGGGGGGGGAGAAAGCCGTCTGCGACTCCATTGGCAACTCATTTTCTTCTAGGCCGCTGAAGCATGCCACAGGCAAGCGCAATGCCAGGCGCATCAGCTCAGACTGCGGGTGGATGACTTGCTGTGCGACTTGGCACGTCATCATCCGAGCACTTTGGTTTGTGATGTGCTTTGTGGGCTTTTTGACACCCTCTAAGGGTTTCTGGTTTTGCAGTTTTCAATTATGAGGCTTTAGTGGTGGGAAGAGACGCCACCCTTGAGCGTGGCCACGATTGAGATTCGTAGATCTGTTGCTGCTTGCTTGGTGTCGGCGTTGGGCGGACCCACTCTCCAGCATTTCATAGAGGAGACCATTGAAACAGACCGAACCAGAGCGTCCACATGTCAAGGGCTTTCTTGCCCCAAGGCTTTCCCTTTTTGCTTATGATCAGGCCCACCCACCCACCCCCTTCGCCAAAATGGTGCCTTCACTTTGCCTAGAAAGAGTTTCCACCCAAACAAGACGCTCCCCATGTATCTTTGGCCCACCCTTGGCTGCCCGAGGCATCCGCTGGCCTCTGCCCTGCCGGCGCCGCCTCCTTGAGGCCGGGGCGAGTCAGCGTCAGAGTCAGTCGCCGGGCGACAGGAAGCAACACGTGGGGCTTCGTCCAATGCGCCAAGGCCGTATACAGCGAAACGGTTTGCTTTTGCATTCATTTCCGTTCTAACTTGTCGTGAACCCAGGCTTTTGACAATGGCTTCAAGATTTCCCTGGGGGAGCCATGACCATCCACCCCTTCTCCTTGCCAACCACTGAGAGATCCTTCCCTCACCGCTTTTACAACCCCCCGATTAATCTCCCCCGGCCCGGGCTCCCCCTCCTCACCTAGATAATGCAAGCAAACCAGGCCGGCCCCAACCACGGTTTTGCTCCTTGCAATATGATCACATTCGGGTTCACATCCCACAAAGGGACATGCAATATGTAGGTAGAGCAAGTTTGCATCACACAAATCAGGGCAGAACCTAATATAACGCGGGCCGCAGGGCCCGTTTTTTTCCGGACAAACTTTGCATCACCCGTTACAAACAGCAGCAAAAAGAAACAAACTCCACACAGAAATCCAAATGGAACACAAAAACACAAACACAAACACAACAGCAAACACAAGAACAACACAGACGAACAAATGCACAGACACCCAGTCACACAGAGACATGGACACACAGACATACAGACATACAGACACACAGACATACAGACATACAGACACACAGACACACAGAAGCACCAATCACTCAAACATACAACCTGCCAGCATGAACACACACACACACACAAACACAAATTCAGCACAACACAGAGGCGACACAAGACGCATTTAGCTGTTTTTCCCTGGGGTTTCTGCAGTTTTTCGCTTAGGAAGCCTTCCAGACCCTCGCAAGCGACGGAGCCGTGGGCCGCGCCGGGCTTCGGAAGCTCGCGCTCTTCACAGGCCTGGATGGCAGGGCGAAGAGCGAAAACGGATGAAGGGGGGACCAATGGGTATGTGGGTGCGTTGTTTTGAAGAGGACCCTTTTCATTTGCCAAGGAATGTATCCCGTGGAAGGCCGCCGTTTAGAGACAAGCCATGAAACAGGGGGCCAAAGAAGATGGTTTCTCTTGTTTGCTTTGTCGAATCCACCCTCATAAGGCTACCCTCAACAAACAGACCCAAATGAAGTGGATCGGGGTTGCTACGAGCCGTCCTTTCGTTTCCTTTAGGCGACAAATGTCTGCACTTGTGAGGCATGTGGGGCACCCATTTGAACAGATGTACGCCAACAGTGAGCCACCCTGGAAAGGAAGCAAAGATTGTGGGTCGCCCATGCCGTTTTTGAACAAATTAGAGCTTAGAAGGTTTTGAAATGGAAGCCCCGCAACACATTGGACATCCCTTGTGCCGCATGCCCAAACGGAGAGAGTGGGTGACATTGGGATTTGAATGCCCAAGTCCAGACTGCAAGCAAAGGATTCTGCAATGCTCCAGATCAACATGTGCGTTGAAATCGAAGCCGCGGCGCATAGCATGACATTTTTGATCAAGTTTAGCTCCTTGACTGATAGCTCCTTGATGCGAGTTGTTGGCTTGGGCGGCTAGGACATGCCAGAAGAGCGTCTTGTGATGCAAGGGTGCAACAATGCAGTCTCAAGTAGCACCCAATTCTTCAACATGATATAGCATGAAACGTTGCTCTCCGGGCAAGGCCTGGCTTGTGGTTGGTTTCTTCTGAGGTGTTGATCACTCGACGTGGAATGTCTCCTTACGCGAGGTGTGTGGACTAGTGTTTCGAACAATGCCTTCATCTCACAGCTTTGTGATAGCCTGAAACCTGGCTGACAACTTGGGGAAGTCTTCCCCCTCACATGCGTCTGCTTCTGCTCTGGAGGCATTTCACGATTGTGTGCGTACATATGACATATGCACCAAGTAATATAGCACACGCAGACATCCGATCAACGCTCGCAGCTACCTTTTGAACGAAAGCCGACTTCACTACAGCTTTGGTGCCTGCGGGGTACAGCATTTGGCTGCTTGAGGCTTCAACGGTGATGAGGAGGAGTGGGACCTGTGCGGTTGCCCAAAGGGTCCATCAGCCCTGTAGGGTGGTGCTAATACATTTGCATTTAATTTGGCGAGCTCACTTGGGAGTAAAACAAGCTCACAGCCTTCCCCTGGGCATCCACATCATTTCAGGTTTTGGAATTATTGTAAAAACTGTAGACTGAACGTGAATGTGTTTGAAGGAGCCCTCTCTGGAGGTTGGTTTCAAGGAAAATGTAAACAATGCATTTCAGAGGCTTGCCCATTCGGAGACAAACCAATATGGCAACTGAAATGAACTGCCAGGCGAAAGTCATCCCAATCCAGAGTCCTTTGTGGTACAATACCTGAGCGCAATTGCCGTCCCATGATCGTGTTGTTTGAAAAGCGCCGGAACCACTGAACCATGCCGGAAATGCGTTTTCGGTTTTCTTCCAGGACAATTTCCTTAGTTTCAGGGCGTTCCAGTTTTTGGGATGACCAATTTAGTGGCAATCAAACAGGTTGGACTTTTGCCGGCCCGCCCACTAGCAGTCCGCACGCGGTACGGTTGCACCACCCCAGCTTGTGATTGCTCAACCTTTGTGGAGTCCGCGTTTCTATTTTGGTGAGCGTGCCCCATGCCCTTGGTGCCCTTACAGAGGGAGGTGGGAGGGGCTGTGCCCAGGGAATATGCATCCTTGTGCAGAGACCTGGGGGCCGATGAGCAGGCCAAGTGCGGAGCGCGCTTGGGCCGCCTTTTTAAAAGAAAGCGACATGAAATCGATGGACTCACACGTCCCTGGTTTGACACGTCCCGATGTTTGTGAATGGACGGTTCACCATGGGTTGTCCACCCCGCTGACGCTGCTTAGTTGCCCACGGGGCCTTCAAAAGTTGTTCGCACGTTTGATGTCCAAGGCGAGTTGGGGGGTCTTTTTGCATTTGTGTGTGCCTTGTGAAACGCTAGAACAGGGCGCCTCATTCTGACTTTCCATTTGGTCTGAAAGCTGGAAACCAACGCTCCGCAACGGGTAACGTTTGGAAAACAAACCCAAAGGACGCTAGAACATGCTGGGCTGTCCCGATTTTGCCCGTTGAGTTGGAAACCGAGGCAACAGAGGACACAGTCCTAGCAGTTTTTTTCTTGGCTCCGCCTGTGGCAAGGCTCGGTTAAAAACAATTCATGATGAATCTCATGTAATCTCTTCCTTGTCCTTCATGTCACCTAACTGTTTTCGCCCTATAGTAAATCCCCAAATGGGGGACAAGGATGCGAGGAAATAAATAGACCAATGCAGCTTCTTGTAAGAGCTTTGATGAGAACCTGAGGTCCGACGGGCGTAGGATTGTGAGGCTCCGACTTGCCCAGAGACCAAAGGCTTAGGGAGGTTTTCATGGCACCTTCTCCCAGTTTCTCCATTCAGCCGTTTTTGCACCACGGTACGCAAGTCGGCATTCCGATTTTGGTTGCCGAAGTCCGATTGACAGTCACTCCCCTGCAAATTGACTTCTTTTTGCCCCTTAGGCTTGGGGGGTTGGGGTCAAGATTCCTCAAGTGTAACCCGGTTTTCTCGGCTTCTTTCCTATTTGCAGATGGGCTCATGCCATTTGCTTGGCCAGGCGGGTCTGGACTTCAAAGACTTCCAGAAGCTCGTGGACGACGCCTCCGAGCAGGCGGCGCCAGTCAATCAGATCTGCTCTTGGAGTTGGTTCATTGGCGTTTGTGTTGATGTCCATGATACCAGGAACATCCTCAACAAAAGGCACACAAAGTCGTGTTGCGAACTTCGCAAACAACATGATGATTACTTGGCATGGATGGCCAGATGGCAGAATCAGGCCAATGGCGTAACAGGAGAACGTCACAGATGCCTGGTGAATTCTGGTGTCGGCAACAGGCTTAACAAAGGCCAACCTGTTTGAAGCTGGGACATGAAACTAGGGGAACAAACTGGTACCATCAGCAGTCGACCGACTGGCTTGAGCCAACAGGCTCAAACCGACCAAAACCAACCGCGCAGCTGATGTGGGCAAAGCCCCAGGATAATACCTCAGGGACATGGGATTCGACGACCTGAGAAGCAGCCACATTGCTTTGCACTGCTTGGCTGGCCTCTGTGGGGGATGTCGGGGATGTCGGGCGGCCATCCGGACGCAAGCGGCCCACAAGGATTGAGAATTGTCGCACATCTCGTTGGGGCCTTCCCAAACACCCCAAACACCCAAACACCCAAACACCCCCCCAACCCAAAAACCACACATACACACACGCACAGACACGCACAGACACAAACACACACACACACACACACACACACACACACACACACACACACACACACACACACACACACACACACACACACACACACACACACACACACACACACACACACACACACACACACACACACACACACACACACACACACACACACACACACACACACACCCAAACACACACACACACACACACACACACACACACACACACACACACACACACACACACACACACACACACACACACCCACAAACACAAACACACACACACACACACACACACACACACACACACACACACACACACACACACACACACACACACACACACACACACACAACACACACACCACACACACACACACACACACACACACACACACACACACACACACACACACACACACACACACACACACACACCACACACACACACACACCACACACACACACACACACACCACACCCACACACACCACAC